ATGCAATTTTTGCGAAGCAGGTTTCTGCTTCTGTTCTTGACGTACTGTTCAATGCGTCTTCCGCTCCAGATTCCTTGTTTGAGGTACCCAAATTGCTCAATGCATGACCTCCGATTATGATATCCTATGCCAAATTCTTCAATGCTTCGAATGGCTTGGCTGCTATATTTTCTATTAGGGTTTATTGAATTCTCTTTTTATTGGGAATTTCATTGTCTTAATTTTTCATGTTCAGAGTTACATTTCTAAGCAGTGTATGGCATATAGAATGGAATGTGATTTTAAATGCAAGTTGATATGTCTAAGGTTGCAGCAATTGTTACCCAGCCGCCGTCTGGAAGAGATAGGGGAAGAAAAGTGATGCCTTCTCCGGTCGCACAGCATGCTCTTGACAAGGGCTTCCCTTCTGATTTGATTTTCACACCCTTACGAGCTGGTGATGTAATTATCGTCTCTGAATTATATTGTTACATTGTCTACCAAGACATAATTTTTTCTTCTCTTTATATGAAGTTTTTGAAAAACCTTGTATTACTGTGGCTTCCTAATTTTTTTGCAAATGTTATCTACTTTTCTATATATTCCGCGTCGCATAGACCATTTACATGTGCTAGGTTGTTGACTTGGTAATATGGTTTCAGAAGCTATTTGCCCTCAAATTAGTGGGAGTTATTGTGCCACTAGTATTTTCTCCTTTACAACTCAAATTACTTGATGAGCATTCGTAGTTAGCTACTGTGCCAGTCTAGTCTCTATATTTTTTAAACATAGTTTTTTTCTATGAAGTACGGATACGGGAACGATATGATACGGATACTGCGATACGATAAAGTCTAAAAAAGTAGGAAACGGGTACGGCTAGGATATGACTATAATAAAATATATTTATTATTTTCAACCAACTTAACACTTATATATTTTGGTAGTTGTTTAACATATAATAAGGAAAATTAATAATTTTTTTAGTTTCAAAAAATATATATGGTATCGTTGTGGTACATTCACAAAGTGAAGTGACTAATTAAAGGAATCAAAACTAATATTTATCTAGTATTTAGAAGTAATTTTTGCCAAGATTATAATGTAATAGCTTTACTATATGGTCTTTTTGACATAAAATTGCAAATAATACTTAAAAAATACTCATGTACCTTTGAAATAATATGAAATTTTTGTTAATGTATTGTATGGTATGTGAATTCAAAAAGAGATGTTAAAAGTTCAACAAAAAATTTATATATGTTGTTCTACTACAAAAGTATCCGTGAAGTATCCTAATATTTGATTATTAACGGATACGTAGAAGGTGTATCTGATACGTATCCGACGAGTATCGTATCCGATACGGGTACGTCAATCTCAACGAAGTATCCGTGCTTCATAGGTGTTTTTGTTTAGCTAATGCATTGAAGTTCTTGATACTTTCCAGTGGCCTAATAACTGCTTGCAGGAAGGGTTTTTAATTTCGACTTACTGTCCTGCAGGAGGAGTTCCTGTTTAACTTGAGAGCTCTGGAACCTGAACTTTGTATCACAGCAGCATATGGGAATATCTTACCTAACAAATTTCTAAAGATACCATCACTGGGTTAGTTAAAAGATTTCTTTAATAACGCTTTTCCTTAATGTGCAAAGAATACAGGAAAGCTTCATATTCTAAACTATGACTTCCTTAGAGTTATGAGCTAATTAGTCACAGGCCATTAACCTAAGAGAGATGGGTAAATATGATCTTTAAGGCCCTGGTATCATATAGCCTAAATATGATGGATCATGGGAGTTTGTTAATAATATAGTTTTTAGCATCAGAAAATTTGATCTTACTTTAAACACATTTGCTCTTTTTTCAATATCTTTTATAATGAAGCCAATATGTAAATAGATGCACTTGTTTTCTTCCCTGTATTATTCTGTTGTCTTTTTTTTTTCTGTATCTTATGTGCAGTTCCCATTTACGGTGTATGTTTTTTATCAACCTGCTCAGTGTATAAATCGAAGGGCAGAAGGTTTGATTGTTGGGTGATGGGAGTGCTTGTATTGCATGATTTTGTCTGACATTTTGGTTCACCCCTCTGAATTCAACTGATTATTTATTCAATGTCAAATGTAATCCTCCAGGAACAGTCAATATACATCCAAGCCTGCTGCCTCTATATCGTGGTGCAGCTCCTGTTCAAAGAGCGTTGCAGGTTCATTGATGTGTTTGTGTTTCTTTTTTTTTTGGCAATGGATGATGTCTTTCAAATGCATATCTAACTGGATTTGTTTTTTATATTGTTCCCTCAAATTATGAAATTTAACACCAGGATGGTGTGAAAGAAACAGGAGTATCATTAGCATTCACTGTCCGTCAACTAGATGCGGGACCTGTTATTGCCTGTGAAAGAGTGCAAGTAGATGATCAGATAAAGGTATATACAATGCTTGTTTAGAGGTCCCAGTGTTATCTGAAACTGGGACCAATAGGTATTAACATGGATATGGGGATAACTTCTTTGGCTTCATGACTGCTCTCTCTCTCTCTCTCTTCCCCTCACCCATGGCAATTAGCTTTTATCATGGCCTGCAAGTTTTGCCAATGCTTGCTGCATTTTCTGGTCTGGCAATCAAAATTATCATTTGACCATGTTATCAACATAAACCTTTGATTAGCATTGACTGCTTCCTGAGGATTTTTTTTGCTAATGCTTTGAGTGATCGGAATGCAGGCACCAGATTTACTTGACTCGTTATTTGCTCGAGGTATCTTATTGGGTTCTCCTCTTCCTAGTTCCTCCTTAACATCTGTACCTGAAACATTCTTCTAGATTAGTGCTTGCTATGCATCTTGAGTTATAAATCATATGTTCTTCCTCAGTATGACTTGACTACATATGAATTTCCTCCTTTTAGGACTTTGAGTAGCCTTTAGCCAACTGCATTCGGATATTATTGAAACTATATCATGCACAGACACCCCCTCCTAGCCTCCGTGTGTCTCATATCAGCAAGCTATCATTTTCGCTTCTTGTATTAGCCAATCTGTAATCATGGGGATCCACTTGCAGATGTGAACTTTCTCAAGCAATATTTTTTATTTATTTAAAATTGTTAAGTAAAAATTTGATCAACATATAGCCTTTAATTAGGACCATGCTTTATTCTTAAGATTTCTCTATTTCCTATCTACGTAGTAACTCATGATTGTACCATCTTAATTGGGGACCTTTTAGTTATGTCAATAACATATTTATGGGACGGAAAATGTTCAAACTGGAAGAGCTTCTGGTGTCTATTTCATTTGTATGCATTGCTTCTCATATGTATTTCCTGTTCTGGCAGTTATCACAGTAGATTACAATTGTTACTATTTTATCTGCTGGATTTGTGTGGTATCATTGGATTTTTGCATTAAGGTATCTTTGCTGATGACTTACATGCCATTAAAATATGTAGGATCTAATCTTCTAATCCGTGAGCTTCCCTCTATATTTGACGGATCAGCAAGAGTGCAAGCTCAAGCCCAAGATGACTCTAAGGCTACTTTGGCTCCAAAGGTGCTGTACCTGATAACACAATCATAGCTGATTGTCAATTAAGAATATCATGTAATGGTGCATGCATTTACCTCTATTTGATTTTTCATAGTATGTCAAAATATTCACGGGCACTCAAAAAGTTAATTGTATCCTGTATGCACCTATGTACCAATTTAAAAAGCTTCTAGAAAAAAGGCCTCCCCGGTTTAGAGTTAGAGAAAAACCAAGAGAGCAGAATACAAATGCCCAGATCCTTTGTAGAGTAGTTTTACCTTGCAATCCCTTAAAGATCTTATAAATTCTATTTTCTCTATTCAGATTTTGAGGTGTAAAATGTTTTAGACTCTTTCCTTTTTTTTTTGTTTGTCTTTGTTTTGGTTTCCCGGAAGGAATAGTGAATTATTCCTTCCCTCTCTTCTTACTTTTCTTCTCATTTAAAAAAATTATCTGCTCTATCTATGGCATAAAAACAAATAAGATTGACTGTTGCATGCAGATAACTCCTGAGGAGTCATGGCTATCGTTTGACGAAGAAGCTTTAGTCTTGCATAATAAGGTATGCTCTTAATTTATTCTTCTCTTGATCTTTTTATGGGATCATGACATGCAATTGTTTAGGTACGGGCATTTGCAGGGTGGCCAGGAACCCGAGCTAGGGTTGTAGTATTCGACGACAAAACCAGCCAGTGCAATACCCTAGAGCTTAAAATTATCACTACAAGGGTATATGGAGGTAACAATGTTCCAATTGACAAAATTGATGAAGTGATTTTTACCAAAGGTTCACTGGTCTTAATAATATTTTTTTACATCTCTCTCTTCTTCTCCTCTTCTTTTCCTCTTCTTTTCTTGCCTTTGATCAATGTTAACAACTCACACATTGGCAAGGCTATGCCCATGACATATCTGACAATAATTATGGTCTGCCAAAAGCCCTAGGCAAAAATAGATTTCATTACAGTTAAAGGATCATGTCAGTTAGTGAGCTGTATCCAAAAATTATGTGGAAACACAACATTGCTAAATCTTATTAGTAATTTATCTTCTGATGGACGGTCCAGACACTACACTCCATATTTAACTACTCAGTGCAAGAATTCAACAACGTAGCAGGTAGTTTTTCCATCTATGACTGGAACATGGTGTTGGAAAAAAATTGGATACAAATAAAGTGAACGACGGGGTGAGGCGCGGACTAGGTCCCTCTCTTAAGATGATTCGTGCCCTTTATGAAAGAATCACAGCGCAGAAGGGAGTAGCGTGTCGTCCCCAGGATACAACAACTCAGCCTATTGACTGTTGCTTCACTCAGATTTGCACAATCGAATGAAGCAGAATCTTCACACACACCTTTGAATATTACCCAGAAACTTATATTATAAGAAAAAAGTTGATATGATATATATTGTATATCTCTATACTGGAAATACGTATATATAATATGTGTTTAATAGGCTGTAATTACTTCTAGATTTAATTGAATAATAACTCAAGAAATATGACTGTTGGAATACTAGCAGTTGGAGGTTTTTGGTATTCAGCAACTGAAATTTTATTATAGAAGTAATGACTGAAAATAATTAAACAAAATATTAAAAAGTGGGTTTAATACTAGTTAATATTTTATTTCATTTAGGCGAGCCAGGGGACCCATTACCCATGTCGTGGACTAGGCACACCAGTGTGGTTCGTAGATTTTAGAAATCCGTATCTCCTCCGCTAGTCCTACCCATGAGCACGTGAGAGTCCCAAGACCTCTCTTTGATTTAAAGGTTAGATAACACTAGTATATATATACACTCAAGTATCTTTGGATGTTTAGTCGATATGGGATTGAGTTCTCACATAAAAAAAAACACTCTTTTAGTTAAAATATTCTCACATGGTAGTTTCTTATAAAACTTCTCAACCAAAATATGACAGAAACAATTTTGGAGGAACCTCAGGCGATTTACACATGATAGTGCATATCATGTAATTGTGTGGTGAAGCATTTTGTAAGTTTCATATTTGGAGAACTTGAAGCGAAGCATAACTGAAAAACAATACAACTTCCTACCATGTAGTAGTCAGCAAGCAAGGATAGTTGGTATTGACTACTGCAATGAAAGGATTAAAATAAAAAGGTCATTACCCAATTTGGTCCCTGTTAATCGAGTGTGCTAAGAGGGGTGAACTAAGTGCCATTTGATCTTTAGCACTCTATGCACAAAGTGGCTGCGATCATAACTACATTAAGGAGATGAAAAAAAAGAAATGGTTCCTTGGCTTTCAGTATACACCAATGGTTTTATCATAGTAAAAAAGAGCAACTACTAGATACTTATATCCGGGAAAACACACCAAAACGAATTAGGCAAGCAACCGTACCAAGCATTAAATCCTCCCTTTAATTAAGGTTTGCTTCTTAATCCACAAGGACATTGTTTGTTGAACTTTGTTTTCATTTTTTGCAAAAGTCTGGAGTGTAAAAAAGAATAAGAAAAGGAAATGTCAATATGAGGAGAGACTACCTCTTACTTTCAGCTGTTGGTTGAGGCAGTATGTGCATGACAGAATTATCTCCAGCAACTTTGCTTGCATTCCCTGAGAGTTCGTTTGTTTAGCGGGAGAATGGTAGAAAATGCAAGAAAGAGAAATTTTTTAAAATTTTAATATGTTTGGTTAGCATGAAAAGGAAAATAATAGAAAAAATTATTTTCTTTCATGCCTGAATTTTCTCACAAATAACCAACTATTTTTTCTTGTAAAAAACACAAGGAAATGCAAGAAAGTTGTGATCTATAGTTAACTTCCCATTTTACCCTTATTTTTCTTAAAATATTTTATTAGTTATTAATTTTTAAAAAATTTGGTATAAATTTGATTAATCATATAATTTGACCCAAAGACCTTTGTGTTGGTGATTATCTTAGAATTAGGTTTCGAGCCACCTTTTTAAAAAAAAAATTAACGTTTAATTGTAATTACATATTTTTTTTCTTTTTTAGACCAATTTAATATAATTAAGGGTAATTTAGACAATTATAAAAAATTTCTTATAACTTTACTTTCTTTCAAACAATAAAATAAATTTTTTTTAAAAATTTTCCTGCAAATTTTTCATTCTAACCAAATGCATGCATGAAAGTATATTTTCTATCATTTTATTTTCTTCCACTTCACTTTCTATCATTTTTACTTTTCATCATTTTTTTCTTTCTAACCAAACGAACCCTGAGTGAAAATAACTTATCAACTCAAAAATGTGCAAGAGAAAAAAAGAAAAAAGCAAAGGATGGGTGAAAAAAATGACTTTGTCTACAATGAATAACTAAAGGTAATTTTCTAGAGACAGCTGAAGTACTTATTCAAAGTTAAAATAACCCTTGATAATTAATGTTTTTTTAAGTAGTATTTTTCTTTTTCAAGTATTTTTTGCAAGTAGCATTGTTTTTCAAATTTTTTTTTTTTTTGCTTGTTATGATTCGCTCCTTTTCTCTAACCTGGTTGCATGTATAACAGTACACATATGCTCATACAGAAATGCATTACTTAATATACTCAAATGCAGATAGATCACTTTTCCAAATAGTAATTCAAACAGTAGACAGTGACCTCCAGTGTTCATCCAGGCCACTTCAAGCTTATATACCACGATATCGTTTATTCTAATAAGTAGTTAATCCACTTTTTTTGGGTCAACAACACTTCAAAAATACCAAAAAGAACATAGGTTGGCATATTAAACTAATGGATAACACAATACGTATTTAGACAATAACGATTAGGACTAAAAACAAGAGTATTTGAGAATCAGTTCTGTTTCAAACTTTATAGGTAAGACATACCACCAAACGTCTTTCTTGTGTAAGTGATGGGTAAAAATCTGGTGTGAAGAAGAGAAATGTGGTTTACAGGAGCAAAAAAAGGATAAGGCTAAAAATGAAGTAGGTTAGAGCTGTAAGAATGGAATAAATTAGCTCAATTATTATCATGATAAACTGTATTTGAAATACAGCACGATGATGGAAAGGAACTTGTGGCTGACCTTGAAATGTGGGTGATATTGTGTCAAATTAAGTTGCATTGTGTACTATCTCAGATGGGAATTAAATAAATGTATCTTTTATTTGGGAACTTAACATCTCAATTTGGTTTCATATGTGCGAATAAGTTATAGAATACAAACCCCACAACCACCCAAAAAAAAAGAAAGTAGATGAAGCATAAAATAATAACAGCTCATTAAAACTGAGATATCTCTCACCATGAGATGCTGAAAGAGGAATACGGTATTGCATTTTCACTATAATGCATGGTTCTTGATCAAGCTTCAGAACTAAAATATTACCAATAGAGTCTCCAACAAACCTGTTGACATATATATCAACCATTATTCAAAGCCTTTTATCCACCATGTGTATATGCACCCGTAAAAGTTAAGAAACACTTACATGTAGAAGGTATGTTGCATGACCGTAAAACAGGTTATTTCTTCCTCAAAATCATGCACATGGGACAACAACTTCCTATCTATGTCCCAAACCTACAGATTAGTTACCTTAAGCAAATTAATTCCCTGAAAATTACAAAACAAAAATGACAAATGTATTCTGATATCTGCTCCTATGAGTATAACACCACACATAGATAGTCTTTCATCCTATGAAGATGTGACCAGGAAAAAAAAAAAAAAAGAGTCACTGGGGTTAAATTTTAAACGTCAGCAATTAGTCTTCTCGGATGACTTACCTCAATACAGTTAATGGCATTTATGTTCAAAAGGATGCCTTGGTTCTCAATAAACTGCAAAGAACAAAAGCCAATAGCATCTGTTTTCATTTGACACTAACAAACAAGGGTACAAAATAGAGAAAACTGGAAATTAAGTAACCTCTTGGAGAGAAATACCTGCAAAAACTTGCTAGGTACTGCATCAGGAGACTCAAGTAGAGCTTGAGTGTTATCTTTCCCAAATAATTTGATTCGTCCATCTCTTGAAAAACAAACAAACTAGTGTCATCAAAGTTTACGAATTTACTCTTTTAATTAGGAGATACATTATTTTATGAATGCCTTTATCATTTAGCACCACAGCAAAAATTTTGTGAAAGGGGCAGGCCCACTATACACAACAAAGTAAACAAATGTATTAGATTTGCAACTCCAGGCCGGGGTGAAATGTGATATATTGTATCATCATGTAAATTGATAATAATAGACATAATAGACAGCGGAAATGTAAAGACGAATCTGAGAAAGTTCTTTACCAAAGAAATGCCATTCTGGACTGCCATATTAAAGTTCAGTAATTTTTATAAAAATAAAAAAAGACATATTGCAGTAGTGAAGGTATGAAATGTGTTGAACCAAGATCAAACTGTATGAGCCAGTGGCTCCCCTAAAATGATGAAATAATACCCTCTTAAATCATCACATACAAAGATTGAAATGCATCCACAACTTTGAGCAGAAAAGGCTTAATTAGTTGCATGAATAACACTATTTGACTTGAAGAAATGAGAAACCTACCTAGTAGAAACAGCAAAAATCTGTTGAATGGTGTCACAGGCCAACAGCATAGATCCTAATGGGATGCCATAGTGGAATAACAGTCGCGTATTTATGTCATCCGGCTTCAAACCATCTGAATTCCATCCAGGCTGCAACACAAGCTTTAACAACTGTAAATTAGAGGGAGTAGTATGTTCCTGCTGGAAACTTATGACGACAATT